ATATATATTATATTAAACACTAAATATATTTTAGTGTTTAAGCTCTAAACGTATTAAAAACCCAGAAAGCAAGGTGGTCGATTTGGCAATTAATTTGAAATGTCTGTATTTGCCTCTTCAAAAATACATAGAGGCAAAACGTCACGACTCAGCGTGTTTTGTCCATTGCTTGTCATCAGCACAGTTTCTTTGATGCTTACAGAATGATCTCTTACCTTCATCAGTTGAGGCACCACCGGTGGAGAGCAAAAGCAGGGAGGTTTTTATACAATGGCAAGCGTGGCCGTACGGACAGGCACCAAGAGCACGGCATCTGACGTGCCATCGCTGCAGATCCTCGCCACTGCGGCAACGCCAAACCTCACGTCGCCCTTGCTTTGCTGTTTCTCAAAAACGCAAAGTGCACAAGTGGAATAAAAGACACGAAGAAGCGATGCTTTATATCTTACATACCTTGATCAAGCCTGTTGATAAGAGTTCGGCAGGCTGCTTCTGTCTCGGGACTGGGGTTATCCAACACCTGCCGGCACCATTTTAAAGGCGAGTCCGTTTTCTGATCTGTAGTAGATTTTCTCGGGGACACATAAAGCCTTTGCAAGGATTGAAAGGAGACAGGAAAAAATGCTCATTAAGGCAAAGCAGTAAGCAACAGAGAAGTTATCTGAATTAAAAATACGGGAAAAAATTAAAGTTTAAATTGTATACTATGACTCAGGAACAAAATTTACTATCACAATAGTAAAATTCACTTAAAGACGGCTTCATAGAGAAGGCACACAGCCTCTGCGAGGCAAGGTTCAAGCCTGAGCTGTTGGAATACAAGTTCAGTTGTTGGTATACTCACCATCAGCTGTGACCCCTGCGTCTCCCTCCACGCCTCCTCCCCAAAAAACATCTCATGACAAAGACAGCAAGGGTGAGGAGGTGGTTCGAACTTGCGATTCAAGGTGATCTACTTTGAGAAGCCTAACTGTTGTATTTTTCGTTACAAACCCCATGGCTCTAGAGATCCCACCCGAATTGCACCGCAGGCAACAGTTGTCTCCTATCTTCCAGCAGCAGCTCCCCGAGACGCTGAACGAACAGGAAGAGGTCTGCTCACAGATTTCAGGGATAAGCAATTTAATTGGAAGATTCAGAAATTTTCAGACGGCTACAGGCTGTATACTACCTTTCCTTTTTTTTGCACTGTAATGTTAGATAAATTCTGCTAAAGCCTAAGTTTTTGCCAGTTGTAATACGCTAGATTGTTTTGCATATACGTACAGGATTAGCCTTACGCACAGATTTAATCGTCTTATAGTCTTGGATTATTTACAACTGATCTTGTGTAAAGTAGCATCTTAACCATATTTCATAAGCAGAAAATTTCTCTCAAGAAAAGTCAAAGGGTATAGGAGCCAGATTGAAAAGCAACTCAAGAATTTTACTTACGTATCCCACATTCAGATTTTTAAAGTCAAAAAATCCCGACAGAAAAAAAAAGCACCCTACATTTTAATATATAAATATCAACACACTGAAAACTTTTTTTTTGGGGGGGGGGGCGGGGCCGGGAATCAGTATTGTGCACCTATAGAAATTAAACAGTTTTTAATTCTTGCGTGTCACTTAGAGAAGAACACCCTCAGGCAGAGGGCACCGAGATCTCGGTCCATTGATAGCATGAGGGAGGCGCGAGTAGAAACAAGAAGTGCCGTGATTAACAGAATCCGCCTAGAGAGGCAATAAATTACCTTACTGTAACATTAGAGTTCCAGCTAAGTAATCTTAATATGCACGTGTTAATGTATTTACTGTGCTGTGAATGCATTGCTACAAGAAGCTATTTAATATAGCATCATGAAGCATCATCTAGCATCATGAAGCCATCCCAAGGGTCATAAAAAGGATGCACAGGTAGGAAAGCAAGCTCTGTGACGACAAACTTAAGGACCTGCATCTGTGCAATTTCTGGAAGAGTCTGTAAGGTGGTCACCTCTGAGCTCAATAAAAAAGGCAGAGAGGAGATTTCTGACAGCAGAAACTTTTTTGATCTTGTTAACAAGGCCGTAAGATTCTTCAACTTAAGGTTCGAACTACGGAATTTGTCCACAATGTAATTTCTTAAAATTAAGTGTCCAGAAGAAGAAGAAAACTTCCAAGTCTTCCAAATTGTGTGGATATTAACTACCTTTCTACAAGGGATATGCTTTGAGATTGAATTTGGGGGGATGAATCTACAGGAACCTGGCTGAGAAGTTTAGCTGTCATTTCTGGACAGGAAGTCTAGCTCTCGGGTCCGTCTTTCTCGATAGGCTCCGAAGAGCTCTTCGCACGTCCCTCAGCACGCGCGGCTGCTACCCCTCCGCACCACGAAACCTCACGTGAACAGGCTTCATGGTGCATAATCTCCCGTGAGAGCAAGAGAGTTTTTCCACGCACACGATCACACAACTGCTGTTTTTTCCACCACCACCTTCCTCTCAAGCACCGACCTGGTACTCCTTCGCCCAGCAAACTCCTTGCCTAGCAAACTAGCTACAGCCACCGTCCTCACTCCGATGTACACATAAAATTTCACCTTCATCGGTGCAAATTCCAGTATTTGGGCATAAAACGATCATGAGGACGGTTTTAAGATTTCGGGGAATGTCTGCATGCGCTTCAAGTGCCTCTCCCTTCTGGCAATAACTTTTGACACCTCTGCAGCAACATACATTAAGCCTTTCTGCTCCAGCTACTCATTCTCCCACAGACATCTCCTATTCAATTCATAAAATACTCCTTTCCACAACACCACTAACATAAATCATCAATATTTTAGTAATTATCCCATTAATTTCTGAAAACCCCTCACCTTTAAAAGCTACAGACACATACCGCGGGACTCTCAGTTGTCAGGTGCCCGATCCACAAAAGCAATGTTTGGCCAAAATAAAACATACAACCAGCTGGGATTTTTAAACTATTGTACTGGCATCAAAATGTCCGTCTAACCTATGACCTTGTCTCCTATCCTGTATCCAGGTAAGTACAGAAACAACCCGAAAGCTGCACTGCTGCGGAAAGCTGTCCCGGGACCCTACAATTTTGCGGTTTGGGGCTTCAGACTGAGCGACTCTCAGCTCTCAAAATACTATTTTTCCGTGAAGCCATCTAACCCCTTTTCTGAAGTCGTATCTGCTTTTGACACCCGCAGCACCCTACTGCAACGCGTGCCACGGCGCACCGACGCGCAGGGTGAGGAACCACCTCCGCTCGCTTGCTCTGAAAGCTATTCACTCTTGACGTCTGGTTCTTGGGGACAGGATACGGGCGGAAGGCAGTTATTCCCTGTTGCCTCTTGACATGCCACTCATGATCTTACCCATCCTAATAATGTCGCTGCCCCTGGCCAGACCCCTCTTTTTCAGGGAGCAGAGACTCAGTCTCTTTAGTCACGTCTCATACAGCAGCTTTTTTCATACCAAGCTTTACCCAAAACCACACGCAAATGAAAAAAATCCAAAAGCCAATTTGCCATTGACGGAAGTAAACGCTGAGGAACATGAGCACGCATCTTCCCGAATGTGCAACGCTGTCTTTTATGAAAGACCCCAGAAGCGTACCTCGCTGCGGTTCTGCATGGGCAAAACGGAGCTTTACAACCACTCGGATGCAATAAAACGGAGAAAGCAAAGCGTGCTCTCTCTGGCTTTATTTTACAGTTCCGACCAAAAAAGCAGCGATAAAACCATCATGCAAAAAAGAGGCCAACAGCCTCCTTAGGGCAGGTCACGCCGTTCTTCACACAGTTTAGGCGAAGGGCAAAAACCCTGCTCTACTTCAGGAAGAAGTTGTTCTCCCCAGCTCCTGCCACGCTTCTGTGTTCCTACCCGGGCCTGCGTCAGCCCAAAACGGTAACGCTGGTCAGACTGCGGGGGCCGTTCCCGCAGGGAGCAGAGCTACCTGCCTCCCCGGGGGCCGGAGGGCTCTGGAATCCGCCGGAGGACTCTCATTTTTCAGCCGACACGTCTATCGGCGAGAGATGGTCTCGCTAATAATTTCACTAAGCTCAGTTAAGCAAGCACAACTCGCTTTTTCAGAGCACTGACAGGCAATTTATAAAAAAAGAGGAATTCTGGTTTGATTTCACAGCATCAGGGTTACTGTTCTCTTTTTAAGTAGCTTTGGGGAGGGTTTGGCATATTAGCGAGCCGACATCTCAAAACACGCTGGCTTAGCTGCTTCTCCGGAGCACCGCACACCAGCCGCTGATCAGCTAAAACCACCAGCCCCACAAATAGCAGGGAGCGTTTTTCCGGACACAGCATTGAGAACCAGAAGTCTCCTTTTACTACAGGCTCAGGTTCATCCTCCGTCAGCCACCGTGGCACAGGCCGGGTTAACGCAGTGCCACGCTGAACTAAACCAGGCTTTCTTTTTGTGAAAAGCTGAACTCGCTCTCCTCTGTCTAAAAATACGCAGAATTACGCTGCTGGTAGTTTTAGCCTCCAAGGCTGTCTGATTTGTCAGGTTAACTTAATCCAATAAGCGTTGTGAAAAATGTACTCAGGCATGCCATTAAGTATGCATTCCGCTGCCAGTTTTATGAGTCAGCCGAAGTCTTCTGGGTTTAACAAATACCTGATTACTGAATAAGATCTACCTTGCATTTTGTTCCTACAACTCGGCAGTTTGGGTGCAAAGCACGTTCTGTTTAAATGGCTAAAGGTTTTGCTTTGAATATTTTCTGTTGCCAAATCACAAATGACAATTAAGAAGTTATTTAGATCGTTACCAAGCCTAGTACAAGACTCAGAAAGTAAGCATTTGGGCATACATTCTCAATTTGATATATTGAGGTAACTGCATAACTTACTAAACATGAATGAGATTTTCTTCAGCTTAGTGAGGAAACCCTTAAATAAAGGATCTTTAATTTCTGCTTACTAGTGTACGTGTTTCCCTTTCCCATATAAAATATTTTACGAAAAGTACCTCTGGTAAGAGCCAAGTAGCCTTAGTTGTGCAGCAAGCACAATATGAGATTTTTCTTCCATTAAGAATGTAGGCACTCAAAAATAAATTTGTGGGATTCTTTACACTCATTCTGACATATTCCAGTGTACTAAAAGCAGAGCATCTTCTAGAGATACTATTTTTCTTTTGGGGTCACTGTCACAGGAGGATTTATGGGCTTTAACGGCCACTATTGTTTGATTTTGAAAATACTGCTTTAAATAAAAACCCCAAGAATCTAGAAAATACCATGACAACTCCTCAGCTTGCACGCTGCACTGAAAAAAAGCATCTTCACATGTTAGTAATACATCCGATCAATTGTAATAGAGCAAGCAGCATTGCCTGAGAATTTAAGAGCCTCATCATGCAGAATATCTGCACGTGATCGATAGTAAATCTATAGATCATAAGAAGAGAATTCAGGCTGTGGAAAGATCTATAACGAGTACACGAGTAAATTAAACTGAAAGGAAAACGAGCCTCAGTTTTAAGACACATGCTTGGTTTATCATACATCTCCCACAGCACTTAGCACCTGTAGCTACAGCGGTACCAAAGTTGTCAGACATTACACTGATTTTCAAACCTTTGAGTTCTATACATC